AAAATCTGAAGAATATATTTAAAAATATATATATTTTTAAAAAATATTTTGCATATATTTTGTAATATATAAGAAAGCGCATTTCAACATGAAGTATATATATAAACATTTAATCTACATTTTTGGAATGCATTTACAAATATATGTAAAAATATATGTTAAAATTACTTTTTTATATGTTAAAAAAAATCTGAAGAATGTATTTAAAAAAAAATATATTTTTAAAAATATTTTTCATATATTCTGTAATATATATAAAAAAAAAACTAATTTCAACATGCAGTATTTATATAAACATTTAATCTACATTTTTGGAATGCATTTACAAATATATGTAAAATATACATGTTAAAATTAATTTTTTTTTATATGTAAAAAAAAAATCTGAAGAATGTATTTTAAAAAAATTTAATTTTTAAAAAATATTTTGCATATATTTTGTAATATATAATAAAAATGCATTTTAACATGCAGTGTATATATATTTAAACATTTAATCTATATTTTTGGAATGCATTTACAAATATATGTAAAAATATACATTAAAATGACTTTTTTTATATGTTAAAAAAATCTGAAGAATATATTTAAAAAAAATATATTTTTAAAAATAGTTTTCATATATTTTGTAATATATAAAAAAATGCATTTCAACATGCAGTATTATATATATTTAATCTACATTTTTGGAATGCATTTACAAATATATGTAAAAATATATGTTAAAATTACTTTTTTTTATGTTATAAAAAAAATCGGAATATATTTTAAAAATATATTTTTAAAAATATTTTTTCATATATTCTGTAATATATAAAAAAAACAATTTCAACATGCAGTATTTATATATAAACATTTAATCTACATTTTTGGAATGCATTTACAAATATTCAACATGCAGTATATATATATATGTAAACATTTAATCTACATTTTTGGAATGCATTTACAAATATATGTAAAATATACATGTTAAAATGAATTTTTTTTTTTTATATGTAAAAAAAAATCTGAAGAATGTATTTTTAAAAAAATGTATTTTAAAAAATATTTTGCATATATTTTGTAATATATAATAAAAATGCATTTTAACATGCAGTATATATATGAACATTTAATCTACATTTTTGGAATGCATTTACAAATATATGTAAAAATATATATTAAATGACTTTTTTTATATGTTAAAAAAAATCTGGAGAATATATTTAAAAAAATATATATTTTTAAAAATATTTTTTCATATATTTTGTAATATATAAAAAAACTAATTTCAACATGCAGTGTATATATAAACATTTAATCTACATTTTTGGAATGCTTTTACAAATATATGTAAAAATATATGTTAAAATTACTTTTTTATATGTTAAAAAAAATCTGAAGAATATATTTTTAAAAAAATATATTTTTAAAAATGTTTTCATATATTTTGTATATATAAAAAAACTAATTTCAACATGCAGTGTGTATATATATATAATATATATATATATATATATAATATATATATATTACACACACACACATTTAATCTACATTTTTGGAATGCATTTACAATTATATGTAAAAAATATATGTTAAAATTACTTTTTTATATGTTAAAAAAAATCTGAAGAATATATTTAAAAATATATATATTTTTAAAAATATTTTTGCATATATTTTGTAATATATAAGAAAGCGCATTTCAACATGAAGTATATATATAAACATTTAATCTACATTTTTGGAATGCATTTACAAATATATGTAAAAATATACATTAAAATGACTTTTTTATATGTTAAAAAAAATCTGAAGAATATATTTTAAAAAAATATATTTTTAAAAATACTTTTCATATATTTTGTAATATATAAAAAAATGCATTTCAACATGCAGTATATATATACACATTTAATCTACATTTTTGGAATGCATTTACAAATATATGTAAAAATATATATGTTAAAATGACTTTTTTTATGTTATAAAAAAATCTGAAGAATATATTTAAAAAATATATATTTTAAAAATATTTTTCATATATATTTTGTAATATATAAAAAAAAAAAACATTTCAACATGCAGTATATATATAAACATTTAATCTACATTTTTGGAATGCTTTTACAAATATATGTAAAAATATATGTTAAAATTTCTTTTTTTTATATGTTAAAAAAAATCTGAAGAATATATTTAAAAAAATATATTTTTAAAAAGATTTTTCATATATTTTGTAATATATAAAAAACTAATTTCAACATGCAGTATATATATATATATATATATATATATATATATATATATATACACACACACACATTTAATCTACATTTTTGGAATGCATTTACAATTATATGTAAAAATATATGTTAAAATGAATTTTTTTATATGTACAAATAAAATCTGAAGAATATATTTTAAAAAAAAATATATTTTTAAAAATATTTTGCATGTATTTTGTAATATATTAAAAAACGCATTTCAACATGCAGTATATAAATATATATATATCTGAACCTCTAGCAGACTCATATGTTCCAAAGGTGAGCTCCTTTGTTTGGAACCCGCCTCCTGTGGTTAGACTCCGCCCATCTACGCTCACGCTCATTTTTTAATCCTGTTACCGATACCCCAAAAAATACCCCCCCCCCCTCCCCCCCTTTTATCTTTTTTATTACCTTCATTTTTCTTGTAAAGGGATGTTGACATTCGATTTCAAAATCTCCGTAAAGCTTCCAAAAATAAATGTCCTCCCGTCTGGGTGTGACGTGAAAGTTCCCCGTATCGCGCTTTCAAATCCTGTTTTACGAAATTGTCAATTTCTGAGAAGCTTGGGTGGCCCCCGACCCCCGGAACGATCGCCCAACGCCTTGAGTGAGCTGGAGGTCACGAAGCCCCCCCCCCTCCCCCCACACGTGCACGGAGACCTTAGGGTCAGACCAGACCTGGGGTATCTTTCTTACCTCTTCTGTGCGGACAGCTGCCCCTAGCCCCACCCATGAGAGAAGCTAGAGCCCGCCCACGAGGATTTCAGACAGTATAATGTATTAGTTGCTTGAAGAAGTCTGACAGGAAATGAAGATAAACAATGTATCACAATGTATATATTATGGACGCGGTCCGCCATTTTTGTTTTTTCTTTGCAGCTGATCACCGTCGCGGCCACCGCGCAGGGAGTCACCAGCCAAAACGCCAAAGGGAACTTCTTTTGCATGTACCTGGCCGGAGCCATTGCTGTCGTTATGGCGATTTACGTGTCGGGAGGGGTGTCAGGTACGTCCATTACTCCATTGTATGCGGTCTGGGGCACATACCTGACTTCCAAACAACTTACCCATCTGGCTGCCGGGCTTTGGTGTTAGCATTGGGGTTACTGTAAGGATTGGGGTTAGTGTTAGTGTTAGGATTGGGGTTAGTGTCAGGATTGGGGTTAGTGTTAGGATTGGGGTTAGTGTTAGGATTGGGGTCAGTGTTAGGATTGGGGTCAGTGTTAGGATTGGGGTTAGTGTTAGGATTGGGGTCAGTGTTAGGATTGGGTTTAGTGTTAGGATTGGGGTTAGTGTTAGGATTGGGGTCAGTGTTAGGATTGGGGTTAGTGTCAGGATTGGGGTCAGTGTCAGGATTGGGGTCAGTGTCAGGATTGGGTTTAGTGTTAGGATTGGGGTTAGTGTTAGGATTGGGGTTAGTGTTAGGATTGGGGTCAGTGTTAGGATTAGTGTTAGTGCTAGGATTGGGGTTAGTGTCAGGATTTGGGTTAGTGTTAGGATTGGGGTCAGTGTTAGGATTAGTGTTAGTGCTAGGATTGGGGTTAGTGTTAGGATTGGGGTCAGTGTTAGGATTGGGGTCAGTGTTAGGATTGGGGTCAGTGTTAGGATTGGGGTCAGTGTTAGGATTGGGGTCAGTGCTAGGATTGGGATTCAGTGTTAGGATGGGGGTCAGTGTCTAGGATTGGGGTTAGTGTCAGGATTGGGGTTAGTGTCAGGATTGGGATTAGTGTTCAGGATTGGGATTTAGTGTCAGGATTGGGGTTAGTGTCAGGATTGGGGTTAGTGTCAGGATTGGGGTTAGTGTTAGGATTGGGGTTAGTGTCAGGATTGGGGTCAGTGTCAGGATTGGGGTTAGTGTTAGGTTTGGGTTTAGTGTCAGGATTGGGGTTAGTGTTAGGATTGGTGTTAGTGTTAGGATTGGGATTAGTGTCAGGATTGAGGTTTAGTGTCATGATTGGGGTTAGTGTTAGGATTGGGGTTAGTGTTAGGATTGGGGTTAGTGTCAGGATTGGGGTTAGTGTTAGGATTGGGGTTAGTGTTAGGATTGGTGTTCAGTGTTAGGATTTGGATTAGGGTCAGGATTGGGGTTAGTGTCAGGATTGGGGTTAGTGTTAGGATTGGGGTCAGTGTCAGGATTGGGGTTAGTGTCAGGATTGGGGTTAGTGTTAGGATTGGGGTTTAAATGAAAGATAAATTTAGGATTAGTGTCCTAGGGTCAGAGTTACAGTTGAGTTACTGTTGGGCTCCTTTGGGATCAAGCCTCAGTGGGCAGGGCGAAACGTGCCAGTGGGCGTGGCTGGAGTGACGGCTGAGGCCACCTTACCATAGGATTCCATGAGCTCCACATTCTTGCTGGGTTGGGTTCATATTAGTGTTAGCTTTAGTGTTAGTGTTGGGGACCATTTGTGTTCCTGAATATCTAATGAGGGACAGTTTTGTAGGACAACAGATGGTCCAGTACAGTTGAGTTGAGCTTTCATGACCCGGTCAAAGCCCAAAGCAACCCTTAAAACCACCAAAACCCACCGTGGTCATAAAATTGTCAATGTCAAAATTTTGCCAAAATTTTTCCAATTTCTTCATAACTCCCGGATGAGCCCACAACCTATTCACATCCGGTGATTGCCATTTGTACCCTCTCTCCCACAGGTGGACATCTAAATCCGGCGTTCTCACTCAGCCTCTGCGTCCTGGGCCGGTTCCCCTGGTGGAAGCTGCCCATCTACGTCGTCATCCAGTTGGATGGGGTCGTTTGCCGGAGCGGCAGCTGCGTTCGCCCTCTACTATGGTCAGACAATTGTCCTGCCGTCTCTCCCTCCCGTGTTGTAGGAGGACAGGACCTCTTTATTGATGGTCACCGGTTTTTTTTTTTCTGTTTTAGATGCCATCCAGAGTTACACCGGCGGCAACCTGACCGTGTACGGACCCCGAGAGACGGCCTCCATATTCTCCTCGTACCCTGCCCCCTACCTGAGCATTGCGAACGGTTTTCTAGATCAGGTGACACCAAGGCGCACGTTGCTCCATGGACGATGATCCCATCCGGTGCTCTTTCTGGTGGTTCACTTTATGAGCTTGGGTTGTCTTGTTTTAAAGTGGACCTGTTATTGGAAAGTGAAAAAAAAAATCTCCAAAATACGTGTTTTGGTGTTTTGGTCAACCAATGATAAGTTTCCCCTCTCCTGCTGTTTAGGTGACACCTTTCAAATTTTGGCGGGACATACCGTACATCTTAAGATATATATTTTTTTGTTCTTTCCGGGACAGGTGATGGGGACAGCCATGTTGATGGTCGGCATTTTGGCCATCATCGATTCCAGGAACAAGCCGGTCCCGAAGGGTCTGGAGCCAGTTGTGGTTGGGATGCTGGTCTTCTCCATTGGCCTTTCCATGGGAGCGAACTGCGGCTATCCAATCAACCCGAGTCGAGACCTAGGGCCGCGGCTCTTCACCTACGTGGCGGGATGGGGCTCAGATGTCTTCAGGTTGGTGGCCATCCTTTGGCGATGACGAGTAGGTAGAAGGGCGTCCTTCAGTTTAGATTTCTTGTCTTTCAGTCAACATGGATGCCACTCAAGAACTTTTTTGAAATTTAGAGGGTGTAGGAGAATGATGAGAACTTCTGGTCCATGTCCTCCTCGGGACACTGATCATTTGCTATTCAAATAAAACAAATACAATGGAGGTTCTAACCCTTGCCCACTCTATCCAAAACTATAAATGGGTTAGTTAGGAGATTTACCTTGATTTTTGGTGGAGTGTGATCCCCCATATTAGTGCCCTTGATCGTGCTGGAGACATCTCCTCCTACTTCTGGTCCTCCTGTGAAAACCTGGGCTCTGCTGCAAATTGAACCTCGTGGTTGCAGTGGACCTCTTTCATCATGCATTCTTAAAAAGAATTTTCCAGAGGGTGGTGACTCTACTACAATGATTCCTTCACTATGGTGTCACTGACCCATTGGTGGAGTCTTCATAGGAATCTATAGAGAGACAGTTGAACTGGGAAGGTCAGCTTACAGCCTGGTTGTCTCAACAGGATCCACAAGGTTGCCCATCTATAAACCAATCCAAGGACAACCCTACAATAACCAAGCTGGAGACATCTCCTCCTACTTCTGGTCCTCCTGTGAAAACCAGGGCTCTGCTGCAAACTGAACCTCGTGGTTGCAGTGGACCTCTTTCATCATACATGACCCTCATCAAGGCCCTCTCCTCCAATCCTCGCCGACTCTTCTCCACCTTCAACTCTCTACTCTCGCCACCCCCACCTCCACCCAGCACCTCACTCACTGCCCTTGAGATTACCAATCACTTCAAAAACAAGATTGACACAATTCGCAAGGACATCGCCGCAACTCACACGCCCTCTCAACCCGTCCCCTCTCACACAGCTACCCCCTCATCCCCCCTCTCCCTCGACATAACCCGCAGGGACTTCGTCACTGCTCAAACTCTCTCCAACCCCCTTCACCCTCACTCAGCTACCCCCTCTACACCCCTCTCCCACGGCCCCACCACTGCTCTGACCTCCTCTCCCACCCCACCCTACATTCCTCATACTGAAGCTCCCCCAACACTCCGCACCTTTGACCTTACTACCATCGAAGAAGTCTCCAAGATCCTCTCTGATGCCCGCCTCACCACCTGCCCCCTTGACCCTATCCCTTCACAACTCCTACGACCTCCCTCCCCCTCCATCCTACGCTCCCTCACCCACATCTTCAATCTCTCCCTCTCCTCCGGCACTTTCCCTTCCCCTCTGAAACATGCACACATCACCCCCATACTTAAAAAGCCCTCCCTGGACCCCAATGACCCGAACAACCTCAGACCCATCTCCCTGCTCCCATTTACATCTAAACTCCTCGAGCGCCTAGTCTACACCCGCCTATGCTCTCACCTCAATGACAACAACCTCCTCGATCCCCTACAGTCCGGCTTCCGTCCCCTACACTCCACCGAAACTGCCTTACTCAAACTCTCCAACGACCTGCTAACCGCCAAAGCTAATGGCCACTACTCAGTGCTCCTACTCCTTGACCTCTCCACGGCCTTCGACACAGTCCACCACCCCCTCCTCCTCAAAAAACTACACTCCCTCGGCCTCAGAGATTCTGCTCTCTCCTGGCTCTCATCCTACCTGTCACAACGCTCTTTTAGCGTTACCTATAATGCCACCACCTCCCTGTCACTCCCCCTCTCTGTTGGGGTCCCTCAAGGCTCTGTCCTCGGGCCCCTTCTCTTCTCCATCTACACCTCCTCCCTTGGCCAACTCATACACTCTCACGGCTTCAACTACCACCTCTATGCCGACGACACACAAATCTATCTCTCAACCCCCCCCCACCTCACCCCCTCGGTCTCCGCCCGAATCACACACCTGTTGAGCGACATATCAGACTGGATGTCGCTCCACTTCCTTAAACTGAACCTCTCCAAAACCGAGTTTCTTGTCTTCCCTCCAGCCCGGACACCACCCCCCATTGACTTCTCCATCATGTCCAACAACGCCACCATCAAACCCGCCCCGCAGGCCAGAGTACTTGGTGTCATTTTGGACTCCAACCTATCCTTCCAGCCCCAAGTCCACTCTTTAACAAACTCGTGCAGACTCCACCTCCGCAACATCGCCAAAATCCGCACGTTCCTAACCCCAGAAACCACTAAACAGCTCATCCACTCCCTCATCATATCACGACTCGACTACTGCAACTCCCTCCTCACTGGCCTGCCTCGCTGCTGGCTATCCCCGCTTCAGTCCATCCTGAATACGGCTGCCAGACTCATTCACCTTTCCAACCGCTCCGTTTCCGCCACCCCCCTCTGCCAATCCCTCCACTGGCCTCCATTCAGTGTCCTCCACCCCCCTCTGCCAATCCCTCCACTGGCCTCCATTCAGTGTCCTCCACCCCCCTCTGCCAATCCCTCCACTGGCCTCCATTCAGTGTTCCACCCCCCTCTGCCAATCCCTCCACTGGCTTCCGATTGCGCAACGGATCAAATTCAAAATCCTAACGCTGACGTACAAAGCTGTCCACCATACTGCCCCGAACTACATCACTGACCTAATATCCAAGTACCACCCAACACGCACACTCCGCTCCTCACAAGACCTCCTTCTCTCTAGTTCCCTGGTCTCCTCCTCCCATGCCCGCCTCCATGACTTCTCCAGGGTGTCACCCATCCTCTGGAACTCCCTGCCCCAACCCATCAGATTATCACCTACTCTCCTCTCCTTTAGGCGCACCCTGAAAACCCATCTCTTCAGGGAAGCCTACCCCACCCCCTGCTAACTTGCCGACCTCCTCCACTCTTCCTACCACTCCATCCCCCACAGCTATCTCCTCCTGTGCCACCATCCCCTCCCTCCTAGATTGTAAGCTTGAAAGAGCAGGACCCTCGATCCCCTCATGTTTTGCATTGTATTGGTATTGTTCTGTCACATGTTCTGTCCCCCTCTGTAATGTACAGCGCTGAGCCAACTATTGGCGCTTTATAAATACTGTATAATAATAATAATAATAATACATTCTTAAGGAGAATTTTCCAGAGGGTGGTGACTCTACCATAATGATTCCTTCACTATGGTGTCACTGACCCATTGGTGGAGTCTTCATACAAATCTATAGAGAGACAGTTGAACTGAGAAGGTCAGCTTGCAGTCTGGTTGTCTCAACAGGATCCACAATGCCACCCAACTATTAAACCAGTCCAAGGACAACCCTACAATAACCAAGCTGGAGACATCTCCCCCTACTTCTGGTCCTCCTGTGAAAACCTGGGCTCTGCTGCAAATTGAACCTCGTGGTTGTAGTGGACCTCTTTCATCATACATTCTTAAGGAGAATTTTCCAGTGGGTGATGACTCTACCATGATGATTCCTTCATTATGGTGTCACTTACCCATTGCTGGAATCTTCATAGGAATCTATAGAGAGACAGTTGAACTGTCTCAACAGGATCCACAATGCCACCCAACTATAAACCAGTCCAAGGACAACCCTACAATAACCAAGCTGGAGACATCTCCCCCTACTTCTGGTCCTCCTGTGAGAACCTGGGCTCTGCTGCAAATTGAACCTCGTGGTTATAGCGGACCTCTTTCATTATACATTCTTAAGGAGAATTTTCCAGAGGGTGGTGACTTTTCCATAATGATTCCTTCACTGTGGTGTCACTGACCCATTGGTGGAGTCTTCATAGGAATCTATAGAGAGACAGTTGAACTGGGAAGGTCAGCTTGCAGCCTGGTTGTCTCAACAACGTGGCCCAACTATAAACCAGTCCAAGGACAACCCTGCAATAACCAAGCTGGAGACATCTCCCCCTACTTTTGATCCTCCTGTGAGAACCTGGGTTCTGCTACGAATTGAACTTCTTGGTTCCTATGGACCTCTTTTTTCATACATTCTTAAGGAGAAATTTTTCCTGTGGGTGGTGACTCCACCATGATGAATGTTCTGATTATGGTGTCACTGACCCATTGGTGGAGTCTTAATAGGAATATAGAGAAACAATTGAACCAGGAAAGTCAACTTACAGCCTGGTCATCTCATCAGGATCAGCAACACCGCCCAACCATGAACTAGTCCAAGGATAACCCTACAATAACCCAGCTGGAGACATCGCCTCCTGCTTTTGATCCTCTTGGGATCTGCTGCGAATCAAACCTCATGGTTCCAGTGGACCTCATTCTTCATGCATTCTTAAGGAGACTCTTCCAGTGGGTGGTGACTCCAGCATGTTAATTCTTTCACTATGGTGTCACTGACCTGTTGGAGAAGTCTTCATAGGAATATATAGAGACACAGTTGAACTGGGAAGGTCAGTTTAGAGCATGGTTCTCTCATCAGGTTCCACAACCTTGCCCAATCATGAGCCAGTCCAATCACAGCCCTGTAATAACCAAGCTGGAGACATCTCCTCTACTTTTGATCCTCCTGTGAAGACCGGGGCTCTGCTGTGAATTGAACCTCTTGGTTCCCATAAAAGTCCTTCTTCATACATTCTTAAGGAGAATTTTCCAGTGGGTGATAACACAATGATTCCTTCACTATGGTGTCACTGACCCATTGGTGGAGTCTTCATAGGAATCTATAGAGAGACAGTTGAACTGGGAAGGTCCACTTACAGCTCGGTGATCTCATCAGGATCTACAACCCCTCCCAGCAATGAACCGGTCCAAGGACAGCCCTACAATAACCCAGCTTTCTTTCTCCTTTACAGGGCAGGAAACAACTGGTGGTGGGTCCCCATCGTAGCACCATGCGTGGGTGCTGTTTTCGGCTCCTTGCTGTATGAGATCTTGGTTGAGATCCACCACCCGGCACAGGAAACCAGAGTGGAAGAGGCTACCAATGTAGAGGCCCCAGCAGAAAAAATGAAAGAGATTCCGGTCTTCACGATAAATGTGGAGAACTCTTTGTGTCATCGGCTTTGACTGTCCACCACACTTGGATTGCATGGTCCTCGTTTGGCCCAATGTTCTATCTACGGACTATTGGCTGCTGTTGTGTCCTCTTATGGAAGTGTCCATATTTTCGACACATCTCAAGTTGAACACAAGTCACTAAACCTTTTTGATATCAGGTTGCAGAGGTGAGAGCTGCAGCAGAGGGGTCACCTCTGGATGGAACTGCATTGTGTGTAATGGCTGGTTGTCTGGTACACAGAGAAGACAGGGCACGTCCTGAGGCTCCACTACTTGCTGTAGGGCCGTATCTCTGAGGAACGCTTCACGTCAGCACTCGTTGGGTTCCGCTCAATGATCAGCCACTTCTAGATCCATCCACCTCCCAGAAGAGGAACACAAAGGGGGCCATCATTTGCCTGCTAGTAAGAATGCTAGATGCCTGGCTGTGTTTGGTTTCAATGGTACTGAGTCTAGGATCTGGAAAAAAGCATGCAGCAAGTGAAAGTCAAAATTCCTTAGCCTCTGTACTTTGTTGTTGTTGACTCAGAAAGTAGCCATGCACAGGACAGCCAGGTGAACAGCATTTTCAATAACAGGTGTCACATGAGAGGGTAGAGGGCCCTGAGGTTTTGAGGGTCCCGAAAGCATTGCCAGGTGGAGACACCACCGAAATCGCGCTATCTAGATGTCACAATTTCAATAGTGTCTCCACCACCATCTATATATCACGATTTCGGTGGTGTCTCCACCACCTGAGGTTTTGAGGGTCCCGAAAGTATTGCCAGTTGGAGACACCACCGAAATCGTGATATCTAGATGTCACGATTTCAGTGGTGTTTCCAGCTGTCAATAACAGGTGTCGTATGAGAGGGTAGAGGGCCCTGAGGTTTTGAGGTTCCCGAAAGCATTGCCAGGTGGAGACACCACCGAAATCGTGATATTCAGATGTCACAATTTCTGTGGTGTCTCCACCACCTGAGGTTTGAGGGTCCCGAAAGCATTGCCAGGTGTCTCCACCTCTCAATATCAGGTGTCACCTGAGAGGGTAGAGGGCCCTGAGGATCCTGAAAGCATTGCCAGGTGGAGACACCACCGAAATCGTGATATTCAGATGTCAGGATTTCGGTGGTGTCTCCACCATCTGAGGTTTTGAGGATCTCGAAAGCATTGACAGTTGGAGACATCATCGAAATCGTGATATCTAGATGTCACGATTTCAATGATGTCTCCATGTCTCCAGCTGTCAATAACAAGTATCCCATGAGAGGGTAGAGGGCCCTGAGGTTTTGAGGGTCTCAAAAGCATTGGCAGGTGGAGACACCACCGAAATTGTAATATCTAGATGTCACGATTTCAGTGATGTCTCCAGCTGTCAATAACAGGTGTCACATGAGAGAGTAGAGGGCCCTGAGGTTTTGAGGATCTCAAAAGCATTGCCAGGTGGAGACACCACCGAAATCGTGATATCCAGATGTCACGATTTCGGTGGTGTCTCCACCACCTGAGGTTTTGAGGGTCCTGAAAGAATTGACAGTTGGAGACACCACCAAAATCGTGATAGATATCACGACTTCGGTGGTGTCTCCAACTGTCAATGCTAGATATCACGATTTTGGTGGTGTCTCCACCACCTGAGGTTTTGAGGGTCCCGAAAGCATTGCCAGGTGGAGACACCACTGAAATCGTGATATCTAGATGTCACGATTTCAATAGTATCTCCACCACCATCCAGATATCACGATTTCAGTGGTGTCTCCACCTGGCAATGCTTTCGGGACCTTCAAAACCTCAGGTGATGGAGACACCACTGAAATTGTGATATATAGATGTCACGATTTCGGTGGTATCTCCAACTGTCAATACTTTCGGGACCCTCAAAACCACAGGTGGTGGAGACACCACCAAAATCATGACATCTATATATCACAATTTCAGTGGTGTCTCCACCACCTGAGGTTTTGAGGGCCCCAAAAGTATTGACAGTTGGAGACACCACCGAAATTGTGATATCTAGATATCACGATTTTGGTGGTGTCTCCAGCTGTCAATAACAGGTGTCATATGAGAGGGCCCGGAGGTTTTGAGGGTCCCGAAAGCATTGCTGGGTGGAGACACCACCAAAATCGTGATATTCAGATGTCACGATATTGGTGGTGTCTCCACCACTTGAGGTTTTGAGGGTCCCGAAAGAATTGCCAGGTGGAGACACCACCGAAATCGTGATATCTAGATATCACGATTTCGGTGGTGTCTCCACCTGTCAATGCTTTTGGGACCCTCAAAACCTCAGGGACCCTCTGATAGGCAAATGTCGACTTCCTGAAGTCTAGGTCTGCTCTGCTGCTCCCATTGGTCACTGATGGGTGGGCTTCAGGAGGCTGTTCCATCACGTTACGACATTACGAGCTTTGATGAACCCAGAAGGGTTCAATTAAAGGGGAACTCCACATATGAAACGTAAAGAAATGCCAAAAAGAGATTGAAAACTTTGGGTTGTCACCTGGACAGAAACAGAGGATACATCTTCCAGTGGGGACACCTCTTCTAAGAGATTTCCCTCACTTTGGAGAGATTTCCAACCATTTCCTGTTGTGTCTACAGGATAGGAAGTTAAAGGAAATCCCCCCGGATTGGGTGACACAGTTCCTGGCTACCTCTGGTTTCGGGACTTCTTTGGGCCCTGACTTAGCCTGTCCGGGGCCGGTGATCCCAAGGCGCTGAAGCCGTTGGGTCAGCACCAGAGCCAGGCACTTAGCATGTTCCAAAGGAAAGGTTAACGATGGCACCGCCTCTATTTTTGGTAAAAAAAAAATTGTCATTGAAGTCGATCGAAACCGTCCAGATAGGAACTCAGAGGTGCAAATGGCCTTTCTGGTCCAATCCAGCCAATGATCTTTATAGCTGCCAAAAAAAAATAAAGGCTCCTCCCAGCAACCATGGCAATAGTACTCTGTGACCTCTCTTCTCCTGCTCCTGCAATTGCCCCCCACCCCCACACCAGCCACCAGACCTCTGCACAGAGCTTCAGGTCAACTATACGGATCAGGGGCGGACTGACAACTCATGGGGCCCCCGGACAATAGGGGATCATGGGGCCCAAACTCAAAAAAGCCTATGAAAAAGGTACCAGGGGCATCTCATGGGGCCCCCTACTGACCCCGGGCCCTCGGGCAGTGCCCGAGTTTCCAAATGGTCAGTCCGCCCCGGATAACCTGTATAGGTTTGGTGTCCCGGGGGTTTCACCTTCGATGACAAAGATACAATCTTTTCACCTTCGATAAAAAAAATTGATCGATGCCGGGGGCGCGGCATTCCTTATTAAAACCGATCGCATGGTCACAGGACGGGCAGAACTTGTTTTAGGCACCGCCCACCTCGGGATCTACAGAACAGAAGCTGGTAAGAATGGCTGTAATCCTTGAGATGGGAAGGTGAGCAAAAGTCGTCTGCAGTGACTGGGAATGGCCAGAAGGGGGCAGCAGAGCACCGTCCTGCCTACACTTCCTCTTTCTGAAAATTAGATTTTATGTATTTAAATGTTTATTGTTTTCTGTTTTGGATGATAAAACCGATTCCGTGTTTTAATATGTTTAATAAAGTACTAAATAAATGATAAAAGTAGAGGTGATGGATGAGATATCTACAGCAGGGATGGTGGGAACCCTTCATAATGGGCACAGGGGGGTACAGACCCGGGAACTTAGCACAGGGATGGTGGGAACCCCTCATAATGGGCACATCGGGGGTACAGACCCAGGAACTCGGCACAGGGATGGCGGGAACCCCTCATAATGGGCACGGCGGGTGTACAGACCCGGGAACTCGGCACAGGGATGGTGGGAACCCCTCATAATGGGCACAGCGGGGGTACAGACCTGGGAACTCAGCACAGGGATGGTGGGAACCCCTCATAATGGGCACAGCGGGTGTACAGACCCTGGGAACTCAGCACAGGGATGGTGGGGAACCCCTCATAATGGGCACAGCGGGTGTACAGACCCTGGGAACTCAGCACAGGGATGGTGGGAACCCCTCATAATGGGCACAGCGGGTGTACAGACCCGGGAACTCGGCACAGGGATGGCGGGAACCCCTCATAATGGGCACAGCGGGGGTACAGACCCGGGAACTCAGCACAGGGATAGTGGTAACCCCTCATAATGGGCACAGCGGGTGTACAGACCCGGGAACTCAGCACAGGGATGGTGTGAACCCCTCGTAATGGGCACAGCGGGTGTACAGACCCTGGGAACTCAGCACAGGGATGGTGGGAACCCCTCATAATGGGCACAGCGGGGGTACAGACCTGGGAACTCAGCACAGGGATGGTGGGAACCCCTCATAATGGGCACAGCGGGTGTACAGACCCGGGAACTCAGCACAGGGATGGTGGGAACCCCTCATAATGGGCACGGCGGGGCTACAGACCCGGGAACTCAGCACAGGGATGGTGGGAACCCCTCATAATGGGCACAGCGGGGGGCACAGACCCAAGAACTCAGCACAGGGATGGTGGGAACCCCTCATAATGGGCACATCGGGGGTACAGACCCGGGAACTCAGCACAGGGATGGTGGGAACCCCTCATAATGGGCACGGCGGGTGTACAGACCCGGGAACTCAGCACAGGGATGGTGGGAACCCCTCATAATGGGCACAGCGGGCGTACAGACCCGGGAACTCAGCACAGGGATGGTGGGAACCCCTCATAATGGGCACGGCGGGTGTACAGACCCGGGAACTCAGCACAGGGATGGTGGGAACCCCTCATAATGGGCACAGCGGGCGTACAGACCCAGGAACTCAGCACAGGGATGGTGGGAACCCCTCATAATGGGCACAGCGGGCGTACAGACCCGGGAACTCGTTTCAGATTCAGACTGGGATTTCCTGCACCTGGCTGTCACGGATGGATCCTTCCGGAAGAACGTTGGACCCTCGTAGATTCAGGTGGTGATAAATGTACAATTGTTGTCACCCACAAGATCTGGGCGTCTATAAAATCAGAAAATAATTCCCCCCCCCAGAGGGAGCGAAAGAGGAAGAGGCCGGGGATCCAGGAGAGGAGGCACTGTGGGCTCTCAGGGGCCAGGTGCTGCGGTCACAATTCCTGACCCCTCAGCAGTAAACAGTGGCCCCTGATTGCGCAACCTCTGGGGACCTTCAGCCCAATCTGGCCCCGGTTGGTTCCTCAAATGTTTTCCTGTCAGCCTGATATTTATTCAGAGAAGAAGTGGGGGGGGGGGGGAGGGGGATAGAGAACCAGAGAGTGCCAGAGAAGAGATTCATACATTAGAAGAGCAGAGAGGAGAGGAGAAGAAAAGAGGAGAGCAGGAAAGGAGAGCAGGAGAGGTGAGGAGAGGTGAGGAGAGGAGAGGAGAGAAGAGGAAAGGAAGAGAAGAGAGAGAGAGAGGAGGAGGAGGAGAGGGGAGGAGAGCAGGAGAAGAGGAAAAGAAAAGAAGAGGAGAGGAGAGAAGGAGAGAGGAGAAGAGAGGAGAGGTGAAGTGAGGTGAGGAGAAGAGAGTAGAGAAGAAGAGGGGGGAGCAGGAAAAGAGAGGAGAGAAGGGATAATGAGAGGAGAGGGAGAGAAGAAAACAAGAAAAAGAGAGATCTGAGAGTAGAAAAGGAAAGAAGGGGAGAGGAGAAGAGAGGAAAACATGAGAGAAGGGGAGATGAGAAGAGGCAAGAGGAGATAAGGAGAGAAAGGGAGAAGAGGAGAGCAGTTGAAGAGAACAGGAGAGAAGGGAGGAGAAGAAAAGAAGATCTGAAAGTAGAAGAGAAAAGAAGGGGGGAAGAGAGGAGAGAAGGGGAGAGAAGAGGAACAGAAAAGATGGAAGAGGATAGGTGAAGATACTAGAGGAGATGTGGTAAGAGAAAAGGAAAGGAAAGGAGAGAATAAGGGGGGAAAAGGGGGAGAAAGGAGAAGAGAGGAGGGGATAAGAGGGGAGAGGAGAGGAGAAGAAAGGAAGGGAAAAGCAAAGAGAGGGGAGAGAGAGGGAAGGAGAAGAGAGGAGAGGAAAGGAGAGAGAGAGAGAGGTGAGGGGAGAGGAGAGGAGAGGGGAGAGGAGGGGAGGGGGGTGGAGAGAGAGAGGAGAGGGGAGAGGAGAGGGAGAAGAGGGGAGAGGAGAGGGGAGAGGAGAGGAGAAAGGAGAAGGGTGGAGAAGAGAGGGGAGGGAAGGGGAGGAGAAGAGAGGAGAGGAAAGGAAAGGAGAGAGGAGAGGTGAGGGGAGAGGAGAGGAGAGGGGAGAGGAGGGGAGAGGGGTGGAGAAGAGAGGAGAGGGAGAGGAGAGGGGAGGAGAGGGGAGAGGAGAGGAGAGGGAGAGGGGAGGGAGGAGAGAAGAGGAGAGGGAGTGGAAAAGAAGGAGAAGAGATCAGAGAGGCAGAGGCTGAAGTCAGTTGTACAGAGGAGGGGAAGAGACATTCTGCTGACTGGGCACTTTGCTGAGTCGTCTATAGCGCGCTGAGTGGTGGGCAGAGTACGGAGAGCGAAGAGTACGGAGAGCGCAGAGTACAGAGAGCGAAGAGTACGGAGAGCGAAGAGTACGGAGAGCAAAGAGTACGGAGAGCGCAGAGTACAGAGAGCGAAGAGTACAGAGAGCGAAGAGTACGGAGAGCGAAGAGTACGGAGAGCGAAGAGTACGGAGAGCAAAGAGTACGGAGAGCGCAGAGTACAGAGAGCGCAGATTACAGAGAGCGCAGATTACAGAGAGCGCAGAGTACGGAGAGCGCAGATTACGGAGAGCGAAGAGTACGAAGAGCGAAGAGCGCGGAGAGCGAAGAGCGCGGAGAGCGAGGAGTACAGAGAGCGCAGAGTACGGAGAGCGCAGAGTACGGAGAGCGCAGAGTACGGAGAGCGCAGAGTACGGAGAGCGCAGAGTACGGAGAGCGCAGAGTACGGAGAGCGAAGAGTGCGGAGAGCGAAGAGCGCGGAGAGCGAAGAGCGCGGAGAGCGAGGAGTACAGAGAGTGCAGGAGATGGGGAAGAGACAACTGACACCAACAGAGCCTCACCAACCGAAAGAGCCGGTCAGAACCAACCGCCCCACAGATGGTCCAACCCAGAGATCGGTCAGCAGAGGGTTCGGCCGTTCGCTGCCAAGATGGCGGATAGAATGAAGCGCTGGTGCTCCTATTTCATCGCCGTGTTCGCCGCACTTCTCCCGACCTTCGCCTACAACCCCTGCCCAAAGCCAGGTAGGTTCACTGTCTCTCCTCACCCTCCGACCACACCTGACCCCCACAAAGTGCACACCCCCCCCCCCAGACATGGGAGCCTCAGGTCTTCCATTGTGCTTTGCTTGATGACATCTAATCCTTCATCTACTACACACCAGCTGAAATTTCGGATCAGGCTGACAGTATCTTCACAAGACACAAATAACCTCCGCAGCTCTAACAGTCTCATATTGCAGGCAATGACAATGCCCTATAGGCAGCACATTCAAATCTTGACAATGATGGGCAATAGATAGAGGGTCCCATTCAGTTTATAGCTGAGCCCCCCCCCCCCCGAAGGTCGCTGCAGCTTTATGTTCCATGTTCCCATGATTGTCCATACAAGCCGTAGGCAAGACTGCTGAGATAAGATCAGTTAGCCTCACTTTCTATTGCTTGTGACCCGTCTGTGCTAGGAATGGAGGACACTCACCGGCAGGAGTGCTCACGACCTGCCGGAGACCCTCATATAAACATTCGGGGGGGTCAACACTAAGAATCCATAGACTGCATGGTGTCAGGGCGCTCATCCTCGACTGACACCGCCGACGCGGGTTTCCAGGCAGCGATTGGACGGGATGTCCTGACCGCAGTCCAAAGGTCGCAAACTTCGACAAACAATGTCCCAACCGACTGTCTGTCGATGAACTGAAGACACCATTCGGTTCCTCGCATTTTTATTGGACGATCCTGCTTCTGGAATAAATAATTCTAGGCGCAGATGGCGGGGGCCCCGAACTAGATACACAATCGGGGCCGCCGTTAGAAACCACGGGGGCCCCATACAGCCAACTAGACAAGACCCCCCCCCCAAAAAAAAAAACCCCCCACAGTTACTATACTTCAGTTATGAATGAACACAGCGAGCGATGGGTACCGATCATTCATTGTGTTCCTTCGGGAAAAGAAGGGGCTGGCAAATGTGATATATTGGACCCTTCCCCCACTCTCCGTCCTGAAGGGTCCTATTGTCCTAGTGCCTGCAGCTGCCGCTGGGAAGGAGAGGAGGGAAGATGGCGGCACTGCGGGGGTGGGAGGCACAGGGGGGGGGGGGGGGCCTGGGCAGCAGAGGGGAATCATGGGGGTGCACAAGGAGGGTGATGAGGGGCGATTACTGGAACCGGTCCCCTGTACAGCTCTCTGCAGCAGCTGAAAGCCAGCGGGAGGGAGAGGAGAAGTCGGCTTTTAGCTGCTGCAGAGGGAGCCGTACAGGGGATCGGTTCCAGTAATCTCCCTGCTGGCCTGGGGCCCCTACAGGAGGACTGGTGGTACCCCCTCATCTGTGGCCCCGTACACAGTCCCAGGGTTCTAATCCTTTACCAGATGTTCTGGTTGCCTCCATAAATGAGGGAGATAGCAGTGCCTGAATTATACGCACGTTCCTGGAGGGACCAGAGACAGGCTCAGCCGACATGAGGTCCAATCCATCCCCCTCCCTGCATACCGGTCTACCATGCCTGTCTCTATGCCTGTCTCTGTGCCTGTCTCTATGCCTGTCTCTGTGCCTGTGTCTATGCCTGTGTCTGTGCCTGTGTCTATGCCTGTCTCTGTGCCTGTCTGTGCCTGTCTCTATGCCTGTCTCTGTGCCTGTGTGTCAGTGCCTGTGTCTATGCCAGTGTCTGTCCCTGTGTCTTCACCTGTGCTTGTGTCTGTCCCTGTGTTGTCTGTCCCTGTGTCTTCGCCTGTGCTGTGTGTGTGTCCTGCGTCTGTCCCTGTGTCTTGGTCTTCCCTGTGTCTTCGCTTGTGCTTGTGTCTGTCCCTGTATCTGTCCCTGTGCTTGTGTCTGTCCCTGTGTCTGTGCCTGTCCCTGTGTCTGTCCCTGTGTCTGTGCCTGTCCCTGTGTCTGTGCCTGTCCCTGTCCCTGTGTGTGTGCCTGCCTGTCCCTGTGTCTGTTTCCTGTGTATGTCCCTGTGTCTGTTCCTGTGTCTGTGCCTGTCCCTGTGTCTGTCCCTGTGTCTGTGCCTGTCCCTGTGCCTGTCCCTGTGCCTGTCCCTGTGTCTGTCCCTGTGTATGTCCCTGTCCCTGTGTCTGTTCCTGTGTCTGTCCCTGTCCCTGTGTCTGTCCCTTTGCCTGTGTCTGTCCCCCTGTCCCTGTGTCTGTTCCTGTCAGTTCCTGTCCCTGTGTCCTGTTCCTGTCAGTTCCTGTGTCTGTTCCTGTGTCCGTCCCTGTCTCTGTGCCCCCGTCTCTGTGCCCCCGTCTCTGTGCCCGTCTCTGTGCCCGTCTCTGTGCCCGTCTCTGTGCCTGTCTCTGTGCCCGTCTCTGTGTGCCCGTCTCTGTGCCTGTCCTCTGTGCCCGAAGGTCTCTGTCTATTCTCTGTAGGTTACCAAATACTATAAATGAAGCAATGATCTCACAGCGAGATATAGAGGAGATGATCCATATATGCTGCACCTGTTACCAGTCATCTGTATTTACAAAACCACATTTACTGACTCTGTATTATTATTATGTCCAGATGGTAAAGGGGGAATGGGGAGAGGAGAGGGAGAGGAGAGGAGTGGAGTGGGAGAGGAGAGGGAGAGGAGAGGAGTGGAGTGGGAGAGGAGAGGAGAGGAGAGG